AATATTTTTCAATCACTATTTGCTGTGTTTGCAGTGTGGGCTTTTTGTGTTATTAGAGATATTTTGAAAATATTTTCTTCTGTCAGCATCTCCGGTCGCATAGGATTCTGTGTTTTCTAGCAGCAGACTTTTCTGTAGGCTTTCAGAAGGTAGAATATTATGTGTAGTTAAGACGGGTTTAAGTATCGTCAAGACTGAAAGACTGCTAATATTGCAGTACTGAAATCTGTGCAGCTGATGAGCTTTGGCTGTGGCTCCAGGCAGATTCACCATTTGTTCTCTAACATTAAGATTTTCAAGGATTGTAGATTCCCAAATAAAACATGACTTAGAAGGAGTCCTTCTTCAGAAGGGAATGGAAAAACTTAGCTGTTAGTGACAAAATAATTGAAAATATTCTTTACACTTTGTGGTTTATCTAGAGATGGTTTGTACATGTGTAGCACACACTTGTGGCCATCAAAGTGTTTCTTCAGTGAAAAGGTGAAACATACTCCCATGTGTTGCTTCTCTTCACAGCATTTATTGTACAGACTCACCTAAATAGCTGTAGCATTTTTCTTCTTCCTTCTTTTTTTTTTTTTTTTTTTTTTTATTTTACCTCTTTTTTTTTTTTTTTTTTTTTTTTTTTTTTAATACAGTCCCTAGATCATGAAGCATGAATAAGCATTTTATTTGGCTTGAGGATATTGTGGTAACAAAATCCTCACTGTTCATGCTGCCATGATGGTTGAAGGCAAACCGTGGGAAAGCAAGCTACGCACTAAACTTCACGGGTTAAGGCAACTTTCTCTGACCGGTGCTAGTCACCACTTTTTAACTGTGAATCTTTCTAGACTGACTCACAGGGAAAATACTAAATATATAATTTGGCTATTTTTTTTAAATCATTGCCCATAACAGCTTAATATTCTTTTAGTTACAAGCCTTTTCTCTAAACTGAAGCTTAGGGGTTTGGTGGGACAAAGATTTTTGAACCAGGCACAGCATTCTACAGACCATCTTACTACTGAGATCTGTGTGTATTAGGTGCAATTCGAAAAACTTGGTAGGAGTTTAAAACAAAACTTTCTCTGGCCAAGGAAGGGAAGGGCTCATCATTGTTTTTCCTGCTCTCCTGCCTTAAGGTAAAAATGAGTGCCAAACAATCGCATGTACTTCTGTTGACCCTAAATGAAGCCAGTAAATTCCCTCAGAACATGCATTGCCTTGTTGGAAGCCTCAATAAAATTTTAAAATTAATTAGCAAAGCTACAGATTCCTTTTTGCTCCATGCTGGCTCACCTGCTCGGACAGAGCACTGCTATTCTCTCTCCCTGCAACAGCATAACTTTGCTTTCCTTCTACAGATAAAGGAGTAAGTGATTTGGCAGTGGACTGAATGCCTTCCACCTCCCTCAGCTGAATCTGCAATAATCAAACGCTCTAACTTTTTAATTGATTCCTAATAAGCATAAGCATCTTCAAAATACATTTTTCTAGCCTACTCCAAAATGAAACTCTGAGCCCACTGTTTTATGATCAGCAATGCTGCAGCAATTTGTACCTGAGGCAAACTTGGAAGGAGAGAAAATTTCTACCTGCTCCCTCCCCTCACTTTGAAGCAATTTAATTTCCTTCATAATGGGTAAAATACGTTTCAATCCTGCAAAAAAATACCCCAAAATTAGAAAACTTATGCTAAAATGTTGTCATATAATTATCCGTAGCCAGATTCTCAAATTTATACATTATTAACACTCTTTGTCCATGTGATTTCCAAACTGAACTATATCCAGAGTATGGGCTTTTATTAAAGAAATCTAACCAAAGCATTAAGTTTTTCTTACTGGCACAGTAAATGTGAATTTTAACAGGATTGTCTTATATTTTTAAAGGGAGGAAGAAATGATGCACAAATCTTTTGGGGTCTTCCAAAATATTCTACTTCAGGAGTCCTGTGAAAATTTTGTAACTCTTCATTTAGATTTTAATTGTGTCATTAAATATAGTGATTTTTGTAGTAAAAAATATTTTCTAGATGGTAAGAGAGGAGTTGGTCCTTTATTTGTATGAGTGTTCTTGAACTGAAGATGGAAAGGTTCCAGACAGAAAAAGAGTCCTGCTTCTTGAAATCTACAGTCAGTGCTCCTGCTAGCATGATAAAATTCAGCTAAACCTGTGAATGGGTCTTACCAAAGAGAAATGGTCCTTTTTGGAAAGGTTATCAATTTTGTTCTGGTAGGCTAAAAAGGAAGTATTACTTTCAATCAATTGTCAAAGTGAAATGCTCTTTGTGCAAATAATCAGCATTTATGCAAATAATCAGCATTAGCGCTGCCGGAGCAGGAGAGGGGTGAGACTTCTGCACAGCCAGGCAGCAGGAAAGCCAAAGGTGTTGTAGGCTGAACTCTGGCAGGGATGGCAAATGCTGCAGAGGCTTCAAAAAAAAAAAATGTACAAAAAAAAAAAAAAAAAAAAAAAAAAAACACAAAAAAAACACACCAAAAAGCATCATCAACCAAACATATTTCTTGTTTTCAAAAATAATCAATGTTTGAGCTGGAGTATTTCTCTTACATTGGACCTTCTTTGGTTAGTCAATTTTTCTGACTAACTGAACTTAAGTTGTCTGCTTATTATCCTCAGGTTCATTTTGCTTTAATTCAGTTTCTTGCTTTCAGGCATATTTCCTTAGAAGACTGTTGCTCCACCAATACACCGTTGTCTTTGTGCAGCATGAACACAGTTTTCATTCTGGATAACTCCTTAACATCAACTGTTTGTGGCGGGGGGACACAAGTCCTCACTCCTGTGTTAAACTGTGCCCTCACTGGGACAGACTTCTGCCTCTCCTGTTCCACAGCTGTTACCGGGGGCCAAATTTTCTTTTCTTTTTGAGATACTACAGCCTGGATTTAGCAAGGTTTTGCTTGGGGATGCAAAGGAGAAGGAAGGTACGCAGTCTAGCCTTGGAACTGAAATTAATGTGAGATTGAGTATTTTAGGGATTGCAGGAAAAAAGTAAATGTTTGAATGCAAAATACATCTGGTGAATATTTTTTAGGGCATTTTAATGTGCACCATTCTTAAACTCAGTGTTGTGCTTTAAAATGCATATTGTGTATGAACATATGTGTGTGCATGTGAGGAAGTAGATAAAAATAACTTGCTAATTTTTATTTAGGTATGCATCAAAATCATAGCCTCAGTAATTCCTTAAAGATCTTTAGAAGACATGTTTAGTGTTCATACGCAGCAGCCAACACAATGGGGTCTTGTGCAACCTTGCTTGTGATTCCTGCAGTTATCAGTGCTAATCTGAGAACCAAGAAGGACTTTTTTATGCCACGTCCAGAATATGCCAGATAGGGATTTACACAGCACATCCCCAGCCATAACAACCTAGTGCATAAACCCAGCTTTAAATAAGTAAAATATTTAAAGAGTAAGTTACATGTACATCATGATTTCCGAAAGGATTTAACTGGTAAAGCAATATGTTACTGCCTCAGTGCTACAGGAGGTATATTAAAAGGCTTAACTGTCTCAAAACAGCTCCACGGCATGGTATACACTGTATCTGGATGTAAATCTAGATAGGGATTTAAATATTTCTTTCATAACCTTCCCAAAATACAATTTTGTTAAGTCTTATTTATATCTATTAAGCAAATAAAAACTAGTCTCCATGCTGTATTTTATGCTTTTGTCAAATAGTCTTCAATTTTAGCCTTAAAGCTATTTTTTTAAATTTTTGGATGTGTTCCCAATGTACATTTTACAATTTTTTTACCATTTTAAAAATGTACTTTATCTATAAATAAAACTCCTTGAAACTGATAGAGGTTTATCATACAAGATAAAATTTATTTTCAACTACATTTGCCATGTATTCACACTTAGTGAGGATTCATGTTGAAATAATTTTGGAAATTCATACCAAGATGAAAAATATAGTTAAAGTCATAATGAAACATATTTTGTCTTCATAGGCTATAGCTACCAGGTCTTAATTTTCTGTGGCTTATTCTCTCTTTTTAAAAGTAGTTTGACTGGCACCGTCTATCCAAAATATGATTTATGTTCATAAATGATTTTCAGGCTTAAATACATGACAGCTTGAAAACACTATAAATACCAGTATTTTGTTATTTTCAAATGACTGAGTGACTTTTAAGAAAAATCTGTGGTTTAACAAGCTGAGACTAACTAGGCAATTCTTAATTTTCGGAGAAATGAAGAGTTGTTCATCTCTGTATTAATTACCTCTGCAAGCGTTGGATAACTCATTGCGACATACTTCTGTGGTTTTCTCAAGACTCAAGCTACTCAATACTTAAAAGGAAATGCTCCTGAAGCACAAGATGAACCTGAAGTTCAACTTATCGTGATAAATTATTTTATTTTTTATTAATGACTGGAAAAGTCTCACAAAAACAAAACTTTAAAAAAAGTTTTGTATATAGCAAAATGGTACATAGCAGTATTTCACTCAGGAAATTTGTTATTCTTAGGCTAAATTTGGATCAAGAAACCCATGCATTTTAAAATCTCAGTGAAGAAACCTTTTATGCCCGTAGCCAGTAGATAAAAATGAGAGTAGATCAAGCTTTTTTCTTTTTTTTTTCTTTAAGACTGCTAATTTTAATGTGCTGTATTATTCTCTCTAATCTATAACATGAAGTTTGCAGCATGAAAGAAAAGGTGGGATTCCTGCTGAGCAGAGAAAATACAGCAGAGCCGTGTTCACCTTGCAGCCTGAGGGTGTTTTGTCGGGGTGGGGGCATGAAGCAGACACTGGGGTGGCTTGTGGGGCCGAGCCAGATGAGCCAGCCAGGGGTCAGCATCTTGTGGCAAATGTGCTTCATCCCCAAATGCCAGCAGGTTTGTGAGCGCACTTCTGCCAGAGGGATCGAAAATGCCTGAAGCGTCGCTTCTGGGAAGACGCTGGATAACGTGGATTCAAACAAGGCATTAAAGCAACTGTGCTCATGCTTTCGCGGCAGAGAATGGAGATGGGAGCACTCCCCGCCTGCCCTGGGCTCATGGATGTGCAATTCTCAGAAGTACTTGATGGTATAATCTGATTTTAAATTGTTGTACTCTGAGCTAGGAATGCTACTGGATGGTTTGGAGTTGGATACCTGGGTGCAGTACTCCAATGGTATTTAAAAAGAAGTATGACAAACATGAGGGTCTGGTCTTCCAACCCTTCTTCATGGAATGTGAGCCTGAGGGTGAGTGGAGGTGTTAAAATTTGGGACCTACCTGACTGTGAGCTACGTATGAGTCACCTTCAAGACAGTGAGTAGATGACTAGCACTTGTCCTAATGTTAGCCTTCTATTTTAGGTTGATGCTCTTCAGATTCAGGGCTCCCCCACATGAAAGCACAACCATGTAGTGTTTTAGGATTTTTTTATCAAGAGCCTTTGATAGGTCCTACAGTTGTTCATAGCTGAGCCAGATCCTTTCAGCCCCAAACTGCCTGCATTGATGGCAGGCAAAATTTCGCTTTTGGAAATACCCAGCTAATTTGGATCATTATTGTTACTTCCAGAACAGGGTAGGAATATGTCTGGGGCAGGAAAAAAATATTTACAAATACATCCATTTACCATAAAATGTAATATTGATGCTCACCTTTTGAAACAACCTCATCTCCTTTTATTTAGAAGAAGGAGGATGAGCCTGTGCTTTGGACTGTGGTAAGAAGAGAGGCAACATCTGTAAAGAGTGGCTTTTTCTTTTTTTTTTTTTTTTTAGAAGAGGGATAAGCACATTGTTAAAAGAATGAAGGAAATTACAGAAAAATGAGGTTTAAGGGAAAGCACATGTTGAAAGACAGAGGACATTAATCAAGCTATGGGAATGGGAGGCATAAAGACTGTTTTCTACACCACTTTGATTCTTATTAAAGACAAAAGCATTATGAAGTTTTTTTTTCCTTTTTTTTTTATTCTGGCTCTTAGGAAGGAAGCAATATACCACAGCAAGGTTGGGAGCCTCACTCCTGCTGCAGTCCTGGAGGATGAAACATTTTAAATTCATCTCAAAGCCTTCTCTGTTTTTTTAACTTTGAACAAAGAAAGGTAAATCTCCTCCTCATAACTTTACAGATGTCAAATCATGGTTTTGAAGCCCACACTTGAAGTCATTGTTGGAGCAGTGCAAGACCCCATCCCTGAAGCAGAGGTCCCTGGCTTTCTCCTGCTCTCCTGCTTGAATGAGGCATTGGGAGTGAGAAGTCTGTGGCCAATGTTTCTTGGTAAAATTATGTGGCTAATTCAAAGCCACTGAACATATTGAAGGATGAAAAAAAAAAAAAAAAAAAAAAAAAAAAAAAAAAAAAAAAAAAAAAAAGGAGAATGAAAGTCATCAGTGAAAGTCATGTTTTTCCTGAGGCTGGAGCAAGGTTTGATATTTCAAAGTGTTTTCATCACATCTTCTGTGTTACCTCTCCAGCCCCTTTGTGCACCATGTTTGATGCTTGATGTTAGGCTTGGCTCCGCGCCTTTCTGCTGTCGGCGGATCCGATTCGAACGCGTTCTCCCAGAGTTATTTGTTGCTAAGAGAAAACAATTTTCAAGTCCTCTGGAGAACACCGGAGGAGTATGGTTAAATAGAAGTTCATCCCTGGGTTCTGGGCAGAAATTAAGCTAATTATAGAAGTGTTTGTTCAATCACAGATCCTTCTGAGGTACTTGCTGGTCTTCAGTGGGCACTGTCTATGCTATTTATTTAGAAAAATAAGGAAGTGCTAATGACTTCAGCTGTAGCATTTTTCCAGTTTATGTGCATACTCCTGCAACTGCCCCATTTCCTTTCCATATCCCCAGCCTCAATTTCCCTGGGAGACCATTTTGCCATCCCGGGCACATGCCATGAAGGAGGCTTTCTCCCGTTGTGCCATGTGGAAGTGGGCTGTGAATTTCGGCAGTCGGCAGTGTGTCTGTGAGCACACAGCCTGGTGCCTGTCAAGCATCTTGTTAGCACAGCATCCATGAGAAAACTACTCTACTCTGAGAAATACAGCTGGGGGGTTGGAAATCACTGCAAAATCCCCCCCCCCCTTTTTAAACACAGCTCTTGTACACGACTGGTGAGGGGTGGTGAGGAGAAGGAGGGAACAGGGAAGGGAGTTTGCTCCTAAAATTGGGGTTTACTTTCCATTGCAGTTCCTTACAAAGTGCTGCTGCCTCAGCTTGCAGCAGCCACACAGGGCAGCAAGGTCAGCAGTGCCAGGCAAGTTAGTACAGAGGCTGGTGCCAGGTTCATGGCTCTGCTGCTCTCCTCGCAGGGAAGGAGAGGGAAGCACTCCTGGCCCCATGGCGGGCAGCAACACAGGGAGGTCCCTTCATCACCCCCTCCCCAGCCTTTTGGTGAGGGGGGAGGACGCTGTGGCACCAGTGCAGGGTGGCCTGACCCCTCAGTGCATCTGGGCTTTGCCATATCACAGCCACACAGTGCGTTTCTCTGGGCTGTGTGCTGCTCCTGGATGAAGGCTCCCCATCCACAGCCAGCTCCAAACAATGGGTCCTAACCTACACTTTGGTCAGAGTGAGGGTCACAGTGGCCCTTGTCTTTTTGTATACTTGTTTTTTGGGGCATACTCTAATATTTTGGAAACTCTTGCCTGACGATGGTCTTGGAGCAATTTCAGTCTCCAGCAGTCCATCCTCCTGAGGCCTCGGCTTGGTCACATTTGTGAGCCAACCAATGCCACAAAAACATCCGAGTGAGATCTATTTTTTCCTTCTCCTTTGTTGCTTAATGGATGACTCAACTTTCTTTTGTGACTGGATGGTTTTAATTTATAGTTTTTAGGCGAGCGATCATTCCTCTCATTATTTTGGGTTAAATATTCTTATTTGTTGATTATTTAATAGTTTGTTTGGATAAAGATGGAAAAAAAAAAAAAGCAGCTTGGTGCCATAGACTGAATCCAACAGAAATTAATTGCTCTGCTGCACATATTGGAGCAGGGAGTTTGCGAAGAATGCAGCCCCGCTAATGGACTGGCAAACTGCTAAAGGCTTTAAAGATTCCATATAACCCCACGCTGCCTCGTTTTATTAATTAACTCTCCTTGCTTTGTAGCAAGGTTGTCCTGGCTATGTAATAAATAAGTGAAAGGAATGGCCAATATGCATTAAACATCATTTTATGCTTAGCCTTGTGGAGAATTAGGGTTTGCGAGGGGTTTGGGGTGGGGTTTTTTGTTTTCCAAATATCCTTCCTCTGCTGAGGTTTTTCTTTGGGTTGTAGTGATGAATAAGATGAGGGATTGCACCTGTGGCCTCTCGATGGCATCCCACAATGATGGCAAAGGTGTGGCTTGGGGGCACTGGGGCATTAGAGCTCCCACGCCCAGGGGTCTGCACATAACCCACTGGCAAAAGAGGGGCTGGGGTACCAGGGAGGTGATTGCAATTATTCTCATGAGGGGAGGACACGGAGCAACAAAAAATGAGGTGCCGCTCACAGCAGCAGCGAGCGATCGTTCGCGAATGACGATTGACTTCTCAGTTCTGCATCCTGGAGAACAGGCGCTGTTTTGATGGACTGCTTTATTTAATCACTGTTTATCTGGAGAACGGCTCCACTAAGGAATTAAATATTTCTGTTAAATAAAGGTCATTGTGATTTAAGTTTTTTAATGACTCACTAAATATTAAAGCTGGTTTTTCTTCTGCTGCATTAATTTTCTAATATTTCCTCTGTGTGTTTTCTTTTACAGGACACTCAGATTATTGTAAAACCTGTTAGCCAAAAAGGGGCAATAGATGAGACAAAAATTATTTATTTATTTATTTATTTAAACCGGTGTGATTCATGGGACAAAGTTCATTGATGCATCACATCATCCACTCTCTGTCTGGACCAATGCAGGGGTTTTTTGTGTGTTTTTTTATGGTGTGGGTTTTTTTTTTCTAAAACATTACTTCTTGGCAAACTAGATATGCAAATGCCAGAATACACTAAAACCACATTTAATTGGACCCACTTGCCAACTTCTTGAACACAGCTTGGATTATTTCACTGGAGGCTGCTTCTGTTAAAAGATGGGGGAGGAGGAAGTGGCATATTGACAGGGCTTCAGATAATTTTTTTTCCACTAGAAGTACAACAATGTCTTGAGACAAGTTTGGAAGTATTTTACTATGTTTAATAATTATTATTATTAAAGGGTATTGTAAACATATGCATTTAAGTGGAATGTAATGGCAATACAACCATGTCACTGATTGAGCTTTGGATTAATTTTTAACTTTTTTTTTTTTTTTTGAGGGGTAGCTGACTCCTGCAGTAACTGGAACCTGTGCGGTGCTGTGAAATGCTCGTTTAGAGAGCAGACGTGTATCCTTTTCCCTTGCTAAATGAGCTGATTAACAATATTCATTCCTTTAGGAGATCTGTGAAATTTTCATCTCTCACTAGCAACCAATTAAATATAAACCATCTAACAGGATTAAAATGACAAGGTTTACAGAGTTCCCAGCAATTTCAAATGTACGTATGGATGCATATGTTCTACTTTGGTATTTCAAAGAGAAACAGAAACCTTAATAATTTATTGCCACAATAACACTGATTCTCTGAAAGCTGATAGGAGGGGATTACAGTCTCTTTCTAAAACCCCTTTTGTATGCTGAGGGACACTTGCAAATGTGGTTGAGTTGTGGGGTACCAAAGAGCCGATTTGCTGATGGTGGTGGCAGCCTGGAGCCTTGGTAAGCTCAGGCACAAACGCTCTCGGGGGCTCGGTGCAAACTCCGCCTGTGCTGTGTATTGCCCCGCGGAGATGGGAGCGGCCCCGGGCTGCTGCGGGCGCCCTGCTCGCAGCGATTTGATGGGTGCCCTTTTGGCCCAGGGAATAATTCCGCCTGATGCACCCGGGCACGGAAAAGGCTTTGTTTCCACCTTTATCCCTACAGGAAGAAAAGGCTTGGTGCGAGCAGGCTGCTGCCCTGCCCACCACGGCGGCTGGGCAGGGATGCTGTCAGTCTCCCTTGTGCCTAGCTCCTCGCGGGGACGGCAAAGCTCCCAGTTTTTCCCAGCCCGTCACCTATCGCAGCGCCTGGGAGCCGCGGCTGCTCCCCTCCGGCGGGGTGCCCTATCCCCCGGGATGGGACACGGAGCCAGGCCCTGGCACCATACCAGGGGCTGAATGAGCAGGAAGAGCAGGAGTCGAAGCAAACAAACAAATATTCCTTGGTGTGTGCGCAAGTTGTTGGAGATGTTGGTTTTCAGTGTCAGCCTCAGCTTTTTCTGCAACCACCTCCCAGTCGAGGATTTTGCACTTCTTTTTATTCCCATTTGCGATTTGGGGCAGCAGATTGGATGTGACGGGGTGAGGTGAGGACAGGAGCAGAGCGGTCCTCGCAGCACAGCACAGGCGGCCATCGGGGGGGACCCACACCTGCCCCCATCTCCGTTAGCAAGCACTACCTCTCCAAGCAAGGCTCACTCCTGAGGCTAGAACATGGTTTTACTGTCTACGAGGGTTTGGAAAAAAAAAATTAATCTCACATAATAGTGGCATTGCAATTAGGGAAGAGGCGTCACTTTAGATAATGAACATCTTTTTAAGGTACTTATGCAATCTGAAAAACCATAGCTGGGCTGGTTGTTCTTTAATCTTGCCATCTACCCAAAGCAAATTTGCAAAAGAGGGGGTTTATTGTCATTAGAGGAATTCTTTCAGCTATCAGAGGAGAGAACAATTTCTTTGTCATTAGCAAAATCCCTGGCTTTCTTTCAGCACATAAACAGTTTACATGATGCAGTTCTAAAATCTGCTTGTCTGTAAGCCTTCGCAGGAGCCTGAATTGTGAACATTTCGGCGTTTGGATGTAAAATCTGGGATCTCAATTTAGCCTTCTGTAAATGCAAGGATGAAGGGCAAAGCACAGATCTGGGCATGAATTTTTAAATTAAGGGTATTCAGTTTCACAGTTTTAGGATGGCACCTATATGCAGTCGACAACCAAGATGTCTGAGCAGCTCACAGTCTGGAGTTTATTCTTAAATAGTCTGTGAGGCCTGGATTGCCTATTGTCCCCCGTACATAAGGTTCGGAGATGCATTGGCCCAGGCTACGCCAGCAAAACTTCTCCATGCAAACCTGGCAAGCCACAGCAGTAGGAAAGGTTTGAAAGTTTGTGTCCCTTCTCACGGTACCTCTGCTGATCGAAGCATAATGGGGGCTGCATTTAGAGGGATATAACATTCCTCCCTTGGGTTAGATCATTACACTCGGGAAGCAGGGTGTTTTTTTAAGGATGTCCGAGAAAAAGCCATTGCCTGC